CTCAATCCATCCACATTGATTGTCAGGCAGCTGGAGATAAAATGGTAAATAGTCTTTTTTAAGTTGCTTTTTAGTAACTGGATTTGTCACTTTAAGCCTTGACTTTGATAAATCGATTTAGCATAAATTGCTGGAGCCCCAAGACTTTAGGACTCTTTTATCTAGAAAGTTCTTCCATTAAAGATTTGTAGAATTCTTTTCAATTCCTATTTCTTGGCAAGTTTGACAATTTATTGTCATTTTTTTATTTTTGTGGGACCCTTTCTATTCTCTTATTTACGAAATTGTTTACTCGATGTAGGATACTGATATTAGGAAACGATTCTTTTTAGAAAGGGGCCTCTGTTCTAAGGATTTTCTTGAATATTCCTTTCTTTGAGAATTTATATTTTTAGTCATTTGAAATAATTTGATTACGAATAGTAAACTTTTAATTATTATCATCCTTTCTAGGGACTTTGGAACCTGTTTGCAATTCTCCTTCAATAAGATAGAAAACCCTCAGTTTAGGACCTTGGATCAAGCCATCAAGAGATCTTGACGAAGGGCCAGTGACTTCCGTTAGATAATGGATATTGACTTTGATGAAAAGGATGCAGGACTAATTATTTTCAGAAATGTATCCAAATGGAATAAAAATGAGATGCTGAAGAAGTTCAACTTTCTGTCTGTTCACATGAGTTTCAGGCAGCTGGAGATTAAATGGTAAATAGTCTTTTTTAAGTTGTTTTTTAGTTACTGGATTTGTCACTTTAAGCCTCGACTTTGATCAATCGATTTAGCATGAATTGCTGGAGCCTCAAGACTTTAGGATTCTTTTGTCTAGAAAGTTCTTCCATTAACGATTTGTAGAATTCTTTTCAATTCTTATTCCTTGCCAAGTTTTACCATTTATTATCATTATGGTAATTTTTTGAGACCCTTTCTTTTCTCTTAGTCATGAAATTGTTTACTCGATGTAAGATGCTCGTCAAGAGATTCGCTTCTGTTCTGATGCTGTATTTAGTAGGGGGAATTTTTTGTTCTGTTTTATCAAAATTTTTTTGTTTTTTAGTTTTTTTTGCTTTGAGTAATGAAGTTTCTTAATTCTTTCTGATTGTCCGGTGCTTGTTTTTTATAGCCAGTTTCTTATAAAAAATGAGTGTATATATATTTATACCACTTAATTAATTTTTTAACCTCATGGTGCTTCCCTGTTTCCATAAGGCTGCAGAGTTTCAGAAACTTGTTTTAGCAAATATTTTCAGTTAGTGGATGTTTCTTAAGGTGGAGATAACTCAAGGAGTTTTCCTCTGATATGATGGTACCATGCAGGGGGTTATTTTTGAGTGAAAATATAGGGAAACTCCCTCAATATGTGGGAGGAGTGTTGGCATGTATGTTGGTTTCAGTCTGCGACAAGGAAAATTTAACCTCTCTGGTCTGTTTTACTTTTAGCAACACCGCTGGGGTTAAAGGGGGTGTGTCACTGTTTTGTAAACAAGCTAAAAACATGGGATATTGTGCGTTTTTGCACATTGGAATAATGGCGGATAGTGCTTCGGTGCTTCAATAAGCTGGATAATTTGTCTTTAATGAGTGTATTTACTGAGAATGGAAAGGACAATTTCTGTATCTCCACATTTGTACTGTCTATTGACACAAAATGTGTAAAGGAATTGGTCTAGGTCAAGGAAATGAATCTTCATCCAATCAATGGTGAAGATATTTTGTTTCTCTTTGTGAATTTCAATGGCATTAGACACATAACAACTAAAATTATTCATCCAAGATTTTTTGCTGACTAATTATTTTCAGATTCCAAATGCAATAAAAGAGAGATGTGAAAAAGTTCTCATTGAGTGTCAGGCCTGGAGATAAGTCGTCACTTTAAGCCTTGACTTTGATAAATCGATTTAGCATGAATTGCTGTTATATATCAAGAATAACCATAAATTACAGGAATCTTTTTCCTTATTCTCCGGAGATTTATTTGATTTTTGAGCAAGCGTTAATCTTTCTTTGAAATATATTATTTTATTTTTTTAATAACTTATTTTCTATATTTATATTAACATAGTGTTTGTTGCATATTTTGTTATTTCATATTATGGTGCTTTGTGGTATCACCGTTGAATTTCAAATTTAACATTCTTCCGAAGCTTTCGATTTGAATCTCTCGATCTCCTAAAGCTCTCGAAGGATGCTCTCAAGGACATTCACTTAGAGGTGCGAAATAGAGCGCCTAGAGTTTCTAAGGGGCTCTTTTTATGGAGCACCTTCATTTTACTTAGAGCAAGGCCTGAGTGTTTACTGGCGACTAAATATTGCCTGAATTGGCATCAAAAGTAGTTGGAATTTTGATCTTAAAAATATTTCGTAGTCTTTTATCTCCAAAGCAGATTTTTTAAAAGTTTCTGTCAATTTCGGTGTTCTAACAGGGTAGGGAAGCCGCTGATTTAGAAAGCAGCGCACAATGAATCACGACATATTTTCGCAATTGAAAGAGCCCATAAATTTCCTCAGCCTGAGAGGACTCAAAATTATGGTAGTAAACTTGAGTTAGATGCAACAGCACTCATCGCTTATGAAAACAAGGCTCCAGTTGTGGAAACAGCAGCAAGTACTACCTTCTAAAATCTTCATGCAGATCGCCATGATGCGCCATATAGGCTTTCGATATGCAAAGAGAAAAAATCAGGGAAAATTGTTTCAGCATGTCCCAAATATGCAATCATATTAATAGCAAGCATGTCCCAAATATGCAATAATGTTGCTGCTGGTCTATTTCGCATTGAGGCAGCCATAAGGATGGAACTTTCAAATCCATCTTGTACCTGTTAAAACATCTAATCAATTCACGTCACTTATCAGAATTTAACTTGATAAGATCGAAGAGGTGAAGAGTTGAAATGGACTTGGATTTTCTTTTTTCTTTGAATATTCTTTTAAACATTTGATGAATGTTGCAAATCTTTTTCTCCAAAGTTTTTGCGGCATTTTATTTTTAATTATGATTCCTTTTACTTTTTGAAACCGGCAACCCTTTCATAGCCTCTTAGAGCACGACAATCAAATATCTTAAAAAGCTAGTTTTAGGTAATTTGACTTTGGAAATTATAGGACTAAACCAGAAGTTTTTCCAATAGTTGAGATGCTGAAAGTTCAATTCTTGCATTCAGTGTCAGAAGCTGGTATAAATGGTAAATATATAGTCTTTTTTAATTCTTTACTTGATGTCACTTTAAGCTTTGATAAATCGATTTAGCATGAATTGCTGGATGCTCATGACTTTAGGACTTTTTTATCTAAAAAGTTCTTCCATGAAAAATATCTAGGATATTTTTCAATTCTTATTTCTTGTCAAGTTTGACAATTTATTGTCATTTTTTTATTTTTGTAAGACCTTTTCTTTTCTACTGTAAAGTTCATGCGAAGATTGTTTTGTTTGCATCATCTCCTTTTAGCAGAGTTGTTCAACCAAACAACTTTTGCTCAACAATGTGCTTCCACACAGGATGCCCCTTGTGACACGGCCAACCATGTCATTGAAAAAAATTCAGTGCTAAAAGTAACAGATTTCACGACATTATTTAGCAAAAGATATTAAATGATTTGCCCAGTAAACATGGCCCCAATGCAGGTTGGAAAGTGGGAGGGGGGGGGCAAAGGAAACTTTAACAATCATAGCAAAAGATTTGAGGAAAGCTCTGTTGTTTAACCATTGGAAAATCAAAAGAGAATGCCCATTTTACCGATAACGAGATCCTTGACCAACTTTGGTTATGTAAACCTCGTTTCAAAATCATGAATCACATCACAGGGAAACTTTGCCAAAATATTTTCCCTCTCCAAACATTTCGATACCAAAATACAAAATACATCATGCCAAGAACATGGGGAACATATCCCTCTAAATCTTCCCCGCAATGGCATCCCCATTGGCAGAAAGCCTGCAATGTATTGTGGGCTGAAATTTCCTGACCTCTTTGTGGAAATCTTACAAAGATTTATAAACCTAAGAACTTTGGTTTGAAACCAATATTACAATTTTGGTTTGAAAATTTTGGGCAAACATTAGGCCTTCTCATGAAGATATTTTCACAATGGGAAGGAACTGCCTCCATGGATGAACTCTTGAGGGTGACTGCATGTCCAACAATAATTGTTGACAGAGAATTCCATTTTCGAATGCTTACCCTGCAAACTTGGTGATTGTCATGAATTAAGAAATCAATAGCAGATGGTGGTGTATTTGACTGTTTTAATTAATTGTTGGTTGGCCAACATAAACCAATAAGAATCAACTCTCAACAATCCCTTGAGCTGGCTGAAGATTATAAATAGTCTTTTTAAGTTGCTTTTCAGTTACTGGATTTGTCACTTTAAACCTTTACTTTGATAAATCGATTTAGCATGAATTGCTGTTGACTCAAGACTTTAGGATTCTTTTATCTAGAAAGTTCTTCCATTAAATATTTGTAGAATTCTTTTCAATTCTTATTTCTTGGCAAGTTTGACAGTTTATTGTCATATTTTTTTTATTGTAAGACCTTTTCTTTTCTCTTAGTCACGAAATTGTTTAGTTGATGTAAGATGCTAATATTAGGAAACGATTCTTTTTAGAAAGGGGCCTCTGTTCTAAGGATATTTTTGAATATTCCTTTTTTTGAGAATATATATTTTTAGTCATTCTAAAAGATTTGATTACGGATATTAAACTTTTAATTATTATCATCCTTTCTAGGAACCTGTTTGCAATTCTCCTTCAATAAGTCAAAATACCCTCAGTTTAGGATCTTGGATCAAGCCATCAAGAGATCTTGACGAAGGGCCAGTAACTTTCGTTAGATAATGGAGATTGACTTTGATGAAAAGAATGGAGGACTAATTATTTTCAGAAGTTTATCCAAATGGAATAAAAGTGAGATGCTGAAGAAGTTCAACTCTCATTCCATCCCCATTGAGTGTCAGGCAGCTGGAGATTAAATGGTAAATAGTCTTTTTTAAGTTGCTTTTCAGTTACTGGATTTGTCACTTTAAGCCTTGACTTTGATATATCGATTTAGCATGAATTGCTGGATGCTCAAGACTTTAGGACTTTTTTATCTAAAAAGTTCTTCCATGAAAAATATCTAGGATATTTTTCAATTCTTATTTCTTGTCAAGTTTGACAATTTATTGTCATTTTTTTATTTTTGTAAGACCTTTTCTTTTCTCTTAGTCACGAAATTGTTTAGTTGATGTAAGATGCTAATATTAGGGAAACGATTCTTTTTAGAAAGGGGCCTCTGTTCTATGGATTTTTTTTAATATTTCTTTTTTTGAGAATATATATTTTTAGTCATTTAAAAATATTTGATTACGGATGGTAAACTTTTAATTATTATCATCCTTTCTAGGAACCTGTTTGCAATTCTCCCTCAATGAGTCAGAATACCCTCAGTTTAGGATCTTGGATCAAGCCATCAAGAGATCTTGATGAAGGGCCAGTGACTTTCGTTAGATAATGGATATTGACTTTGATGAAAAGGATGGAGGACTAATTATTGTCAGAAGTTTATCCAAATGGAATAAAAGTGAGATGCTGAAGAAGTTCAACTTTCTGTCTATTCACATTGAGTGTCAGGCAGCTGGAGATAAAATGGTAAAATCTCTTTTTGAAGTTGCTTTTCAGTTACTGGATTTGTCACTTTAAGCCTTGACTTTGATGAATCGTTTTAGCATGAATTGCTGTTGACTCAAGACTTTAGGATTCTTTTATCTAGAATGTTCTTCCATTAAAGATTTGTATAATTCTTTTCCATTCTTATTTCTTGCCAAGTTTGACAATTTATTGTCATTTTTTTATTTTTGTAAGACCTTTTCTTTTCTCTTAGTCACGAAATTATTTAGTTGATGTAAGATGCTCGTATTAGGAAACGATTCTTTTTAGAAAGGGGCCTCTGTTCTAAGGATTTTTTTGAATATTTCTTTCTTTGAGAATATGTATATTTAGTCATTTAAAAAGATTCGATTATGGATAGTAAACTTTTAATCATAATCATCCTTTCTAGGGACTTTGGAACCTGTTTGCAATTCTCCTTCAATAAGATAGAAAACCCTCAGTTTAGGATCTTGGATCAAGCCATCAAGATATCTTGGCGAAGGGCCAGTGACTTTCGTTAGATAATGGAGATTGACTTTGATGAAAAGGATGGAGGACTAATTATTTTCAGAAGTTTATCCAAATGGAATAAAAGTGAGATGCTGAAGAAGTTCAACTCTCAATCCATCCCCATTGAGTGTCAGGCAGCTGGAGATTAAATGGTAAATAGTCTTTTTTAAGTTGCTTTTCAGTTACTGGATTTGTCACTTTAAACCTTTACTTTGATAAATCGATTTAGCATGAATTGCTGTTGACTCAAGACTTTAGGATTCTTTTATCTAGAAAGTTCTTCCATTAAATATTTGTAGAATTCTTTTCAATTCTTATTTCTTGGCAAGTTTGATAGTTTATTGTCATATTTTTTTTATTGTAAGACCTTTTCTTTTCTCTTAGTCACGAAATTGTTTAGTTGATGTAAGATGCTAATATTAGGAAACGATTCTTTTTAGAAAGGGGCCTCTGTTCTAAGGATATTTTTGAATATTCCTTTTTTTGAGAATATATATTTTTAGTCATTCTAAAAGATTTGATTACGGATATTAAACTTTTAATTATTATCATCCTTTCTAGGAACCTGTTTGCAATTCTCCTTCAATAAGTCAAAATACCCTCAGTTTAGGATCTTGGATCAAGCCATCAAGAGATCTTGACGAAAGGCCAGTGAGTTCCGTTAGATAATGGAGATTGACTTTGATGAAAAGGATGGAGGACTAATTATTGTCAGAAGTTTATCCAAATGGAATAAAAGTGAGATGCTGAAAAAGTTCAACTTTTTGTCTATTCACATTGAGTGTCAGGCAGCTGGAGATTAAATGGTAAAATAGTCTTTTTTAAGTGGCTTTTTAGTCACTGGATTCGTCACTTTAAGCCTTGACTTTGATAAATCGATTTAGCATGAATTGCTGTTAATTCAAGACTTTAGGATTCTTTTGTCTAGAAAGTTCTTCCATTAAAGATTTGTATAATTCTTTTCAATTCTTTTTCCTTACCAAGTTTGACATTTTATTCTCATTATTTTATTTTTGTAAGACCTTTTCTTTTCTCTTAGTCACGAAGTTGTTTAGTTGATATAAGATGCTAATATTAGGAAACGATTCTTTTTAGAAAGGGGCCTCTGTTCTAAGGATTTTTTTGAATATTTCTTTCTTTGAAAATATATATTTTTAGTCATTTAAAATGATTTGATTATGCATAGTAAACTTTTATTTATTATCATCCTTTCTAGGGACTTTCGAACCTGTTTGCAATTCTCCTTCAGTAAGTCAGAATACCCTCAGTTTAGGATCTTGGATCAAGCCATCAAGAGATCTTGACGAAGGGCCAGTGACTTTCGTTAGATAAAGGAGATTGACTTTGATGAAAAGGATGGGGGACTAATTATTTTCAGAAATTTATCCAAATGGAATAAAAGTGAGATGCTGAAGAAGTTCAACTTTTCACATTGAGTGTCAGGCAGCTGAAGAATAAATGGTAAATAGTCTTTTTTAAGTTGCTTTTCAGTTACTGGATTTGTCACTTTAAACCTTTACTTTGATAAATCGATTTAGCATGAATTGCTGTTGACTCAAGGCTTTAGGATTCTTTTATCTAGAAAGTTCTTCCATTAAATATTTGTAGAATTCTTTTCAATTCCTATTTCTTGGCAAGTTTGACAGTTTATTGTCATATTTATTTTTGTAAGACCTTTTCTTTTCTCTTAGTCACGAAATTGTTTTGTTGATGTAAGATGCTAATATTAGGAAACGATTCTATTTAGAAAGGGGCCTCTGTTTTAAGGATTTTTTTTGAATATTTCTTTTTTTGAGAATATATATTTTTAGTCATTTAAAAAGATTTGACTACGGATAGTAAACTTTTGATTATTATCATCGTTTCTAGGGACTTTGGAACCTGTTTGCAATCCTCTTTCAATGAGTCAGAATACCCTCAGTTTAGGATCTTGGATCAAGCCATCATGAGATCTTGACGAAGGGCCAATGTCTTTCATTAGATAATGGATATTGACTTTGATGAAAAGGATGGAGTACTAATTATTTTCAAAAGTTTATCCAAATGAAATAAAAGAGAGATGTTGAAGAAGTTCAACTCTCAATCCATCCACATTGAGTGTCAGGCAGCTGGAGATAAAATGGTAAATAGTCTTTTTTAAGTTGCTTTTTAGTTACTGGATTCGTCACTTTAAGCCTTGACTTTGATAAATCGATTTAGCATGAATTGCTGTTGACTCAAGACTTTAGGATTCTTTTGTCTAGAAAGTTCTTCCATTAAAGATTTCTAGAATTCTTTTCAATTCTTATTTCTTGGCAAGTTTGACAATTTATTGTCATTTTTTTATTTTTGTAAGACCCTTTCTTTTCTCTTAGTCACGAGATTGTTTAGTTGATGTAAGATGCTAATATTAGGAAACGATTCTTTTTAGAAAGGGGCCTCTGTTCTAAGGATATTTTTGAATATTTCTTTCTTTCAGAATTTATATTTTTAGTCATTTAAAAAGATTTGATTACGGATAGTAAACTTTTAATTATTATCATCCTTTCTAGGGACTTTGGAACATGTTTGCAATTCTCCTTCAATAAGACAGAAAACCCTCAGTTTAGGATCTTGGATCAAGCCATCAAGAGATCTTGATGAAAGGCCAGTAACTTTCGTTAGATGATGGATATTGACTTTGATTAAAAGGATGGAGGACTTATTATTTTCAGAAGTTTATCCAAATGGAATAAAAGTGAGATGCTGAAGAATATTCACATTGAGTGTCAGGCAGCTGGAGATTAAATGGTAAATAGTCTTTTTGAAGTTGCTCTTCAGTTACTGGATTTGTCACTTTAAGCCTTGACTTTGATAAATCGATTTAGCATGAATTGCTGTTGACTCAAGACTTTAGGATTCTTTTATCTAGAAAGTTCTTCCATTAAAGATTTGTAGAATTCTTTTCAATTCTTATTTCTTGTCAAGTTTGACAATTTATTGTCATTTTTTTATTTTTGTAAGACCCTTTCTTTTCTCTTAGTCACGAAGTTGTTTAGTTGATGTAAGATGCTAATATTAGGAAAGATTCTATTTAGAAAGGGGCCTCTGTTCTAAGGATTTTTTTGAATATTTCTTTCTTTGAGAATTTATATTTTTAGTCATTTTAAATGATTTGATTATTGATAGTAAACTTTTAATTATTATCATCCTTTCTAGGGACATTCCAACCTGTTTGCGATTCTCCTTCAATGAGTCAGAATACCCTCAGTTTAGGATCTTGGATCAAGCCATCATGAGATCTTGACGAAGGGCCAATGTCTTTCATTAGATAATGGATATTGACTTTGATGAAAAGGATGGAGTACTAATTATTTTCAAAAGTTTATCCAAATGAAATAAAAGAGAGATGTTGAAGAAGTTCAACTCTCAATCCATCCACATTGAGTGTCAGGCAGCTGGAGATAAAATGGTAAATAGTCTTTTTTAAGTTGCTTTTTAGTTACTGGATTCGTCACTTTAAGCCTTGACTTTGATAAATCGATTTAGCATGAATTGCTGTTGACTCAAGACTTTAGGATTCTTTTGTCTAGAAAGTTCTTCCATTAAATATTTCTAGAATTCTTTTCAATTCTTATTTCTTGTCAAATTTGACAATTTATTGTCATTTTTTTATTTTTGTAAGACCCTTTCTTTTCTCTTAGTCACGAAGTTGTTTAGTTGATGTAAGATGCTAATATTAGGAAAGATTCTATTTAGAAAGGGGCCTCTGTTCTAAGGATTTTTTTGAATATTTCTTTCTTTGAGAATATATATTTTTAGTCATTTAAAATAATTTGATTACGAATTGTAAACTTTTAATTATTATCATCCTTTCTAGGGACTTTGGAACCTGTTTGCAATTCTCCTTCAATAAGATAGAAAACCCTCGGTTTAGGATCTTGGATCAAGCCATCAAAAGATCTTGACGAAGGGCCAGTGACTTTCGTTAGATAATGGAGATTGACTTTGATGAAAAGGATGCAGGACTAATTATTTTCAGAAATTTATCCAAATGGAATAAAAATGAGATGCTGAAGAAGTTCAACTTTCTGTCTGTTCACATTGAGTGTCAGGCAGCTGGAAATTAAATGGTAAATAGTCTTTTTTAAGTTGTTTTTTAGTTACTGGATTTGTCACTTTAAACCTTAACTTTGATAAATCGATTTAGCATGAATTGCTGTTGACTCAAGACTTTAGGATTCTTTTATCTAGAAAGTTCTTCCATTAAAGATTTGTAGAATTCTTTTCAATTCTTATTTCTTGCCAAGTTTGACAATTTATTGTCATTTTTTTTATTTTTGTGTGACCCTGTCTTTTCTCTTAGTCACGAAATTGTTTAGTTGATGTAAGATGCTAATATTAGGAAACGATTCTATTTAGAAAAGGGCCTCTGTTCTAAGGATTTTTTTGAATATTTATTTCTTTCAGAATATATATTTTTAGTCATTTAAAAAGATGTGATTACGGATAGTAAACTTTTGATTATTATCATCCTTTCTAGGGACTTTGGAACATGTTTGCAATTCTCCTTGAATGACTCAGAATACCCTCAGTTTAGGATCTTGGATCAAGCCATCGAGAGATCTTGACAAAAGGCCAGTAACTTTCGTTAGATAATGGAGATTTACTTTGATGAAAAGGATGAAGGACTAATTATTTTCAGAAGTTTATCCAAATGGAATGAAAGTAACCTGCTGAAGAAGTTCAACTCTCAATCTATTCACATTGAGTGTCAGGCAGCTGGAGATTAAATGGTAAATAGTCTTTTTTAAGTTATTTTTAGTTACTGGATTCGTCACTTTAAACCTTAACTTTGATAAATCGATTTAGCATGAATTGCTGTTGACTCAAGACTTTAGGATTCTTTTATCTAGAACGTTCTTCCATAAAAGATTTGTAGAATTCTTTTGAATTCTTATTCCTTGCCAAGTTTCACAATTCATTGTCATTTTTTTTAGAGGGACCCTATCTTTTCTCTTAGTCACGAAATTGTTTAGTTGATGTAAGATGCTAATATTAGGAAACCATTGTTTTTAGAAAGGGGCCTCTGTTCTAAGGATTTTTTTGAATATTTCTTTCTTTCAGAATTTATATTTTTAGTCATTTAAAAAGATTTGATTACGGATAGTAAACTTTTAATTATTATCATCCTTTCTAGGGACTTTGGAACATGTTTGCAATTCTCCTTGAATGACTCAGAATACCCTCAGTTTAGGATCTTGGATCAAGTCATCAAGAGATCTTGACGAAGGGCCAGTGACTTTCGTTAGATAATGGAGATTGAGTCTGATAAAAAGGATGGAGGACTAATTATTTTCAGAAGTTTATCCAAATGGAATAAAAGTGAGATGCTGAAGAAGTTCAACTTTCTGTCTATTCACATTGAGTGTCAGGCAGCTGGAGATTAAATGGTAAATAGTCTTTTTGAAGTTGCTTTTCAGTTACTGGATTTGTCACTTTAAGCCTTGACTTTGATAAATCGATTTAGCATGAATTGCTGTTGACTCAAGACTTTAGGATTCTTTTGTCTAGAACGTTATTCCATTAAAGATTTGTAGTATTCTTTTCAATTCTTACTTCTTGGCAAGGTTGACAATTTACTGTCATTTTTTTATTTTTTGGAGACCCTTTCTTTTCTCTAAGTCACGAAATTGTTTAGTTGATGTAAGATGCTAATATTAGGAAACGATTCTATTTAGAAAAGGGCTCTGTTCTAAGGATTGTTTTGAATATTTCTTTCTTTCAGAATATATATTTTTAGTCATTTAAAAAGATTTGATTACGGATAGTAAACTTTTATTTATTATCATCCTTTCTAGGGACTTTGGAACCTGTTCGCAATTCTCCTTCAATAAGTCAGAACACCCTCAGTTTAGGATCTTGGATCAAGCCATCAAGAGATCTTGACGAAGGGCCAGTGACTTTCGTTGGATAATGGAGACTGACTTTGATGAAAAAGAAGGAGGACTAATTGTTTTCAGAAGTTTATCCAAATTGAATAAAAATGAGATGCTGAAAAGGTTCAACTTTCTGTCTATTCACATTGAGTGTCAGGCAGCTGGAGATAAAATGGTAAAATGTCTTTTTGAAGTTGCTTTTCAGTTACCGGATTTGTCACTTTAAACCTTGACTTTGATGAATCGATTTATAATGAATTGCTGTTGACTCAAGACTTTAGGATTCTTTTATCTAGAAAATTCTTCCATTAAAGATTTGTATAATTCTTTTCAATTCTTATTTCTTGCCATGTTTCACAATTCATTGTCATTTTTTTATTTTAGTGGGACCCTATCTTTTCTCTTAGTCACGAAATTGTTTAGTTGATGTAAGATGCTAATATTAGGAAACGATTCTTTTTAGAAAGGGGCCTTTGTGCTAAGGATTTTTTTGAATATTTCTTTTTTTGAGAATATATTTTTTTAATCATATAAAAAGATTTGATTACGGATAGTAAACTTTTGATTATTATCATCCTTTCTAGGGACTTTGGAACCTGTTTGCAATTCTCCTTCAATGAGTCAGAATACCCTCAGTTTAGGATCTTGGATCAAGCCATCAAGAGATCTTGACGAAGGGCCAGTGACTTTCGTTAGATAATGGAGATTGAGTTTGATAAAAAGGATGGAGGACTATTTATTTTCAGAAGTTTATCCAAATGGAATAAAAGTGAGATGCTGAAGAAGTTCAACTTTCTGTCTATTCACATTGAGTGTCAGGCAGCTGGACTTTAAATGGTAAATAGTCTTTCTTAAGTTGCTTTTCAGTTACTGGATTTGTCACCTTAAACCTTGACTTTGATGAATCGATTAAGCATGAATTGCTGTTGACTCAAGACTTAAGGATTCTTTTATCTAGAAAGTTCTTCCATTAAAGATTTGTAATATTCTTTTCAATTCTTACTTCTTGGCAAGTTTTACAATTTATTGTCATTTTTTTATTTTTGTGAGACCCTTTCTTTTCTCTTAGTCACGAAATTGTTTAGTTGATGTAAGATGCTAATATTAGCAAACGATTCTTTTTAGAAAGGGGCCTCTGTTCTAAGGATTTTTTTGAATATTTATTTCTTTCAGAATATATATTTTTAGTCATTTAAAAAGATTTGATTATGGATAGTAAACTTTAAATTATTATCATCCTTTCTAGGGACTTTGGAACCTGTTTGCAATTCTCCTTCAATAAGTCAGAACACCCTCAGTTTAGGATCTAGGATCAAGCCATCAAGAGATCTTGATGAAAGGCCAGTGACTTTCGTTAGATAAAGGAGATTGAGTTTGATAAAAAGGATGGAGGAATAATTATTTTCAGAAGTTTATCCAAATTGAATAAAAGTGAGATGCTGAAGAAGCTCAACTTTCTGTCTATTCACATTGAGTGTCAGGCAGCTGGAGATTAAATGGTAAATAGTCTTTTTTAGGTTGCTTTTCAGTTACTGGATTCGTCACTTGACTTTGATAAATCGATTTAGCATGAATTGCTGTTGACTCAAGACTTTAGGATTCTTTTATCTAGAAAGTTCTTCCGTTAAATATTTGTAGAATTCTTTTCAACTCTTATTCCCTGCCAAGTTTGACAATTCATTGTCATTTTTTATTTTTGTAAGACCCTTTCTTTTCTCTTAGTCACGAAATTGTTTAGTTGATGTAAGATGCTAATTTTAAGAAACGATTCTATTTAGAAAGGGGCCTCTGTTCTTAGGATTTTTTTGAATATTTCTTTCTTTCAGAATATATATTTTTAGTCTTTTTAAAAGATGTTATTACGGATAGTAAACTTTTAATTATTATCATCCTTTCTAGGGACTTTGGAACCTGTTTGCAATTCTCCTTCAATGAGTCAGAATACCCTCAGTTTAGGATCTTGGATCAAGCCATCAAGAGATCTTGACGAAGGGCCAATGACTTTCGTTAGATAATGGAGATTGACTTTGATGAAAAGGATGGAGGACTAATTATTTTCAGAAGTTTATCCAAATGAAATAAAAGTGAGATGCTGAGAAAGTTCAACTTTCTGTATATTCACATTGAGTGTCAGGCAGCTGGAGATAAAATGGTAAATAGTCTTTATTAGGTTGTTTTTCTGTAACCCATTTTTTGTCATAAGATTTAAAGTTACATTGTCTTTGATAAATTTATTTAATATGAATTTAGTTTGCTCACGAATTTATGATTTTCTTTTTTTTTCCAACATGTTTTTAATGAAAAATTTGTAATAATATTTTTGTTTCTATTCACTCTGGAACTTGACACCTGATATTGTCATTATGATATTTTTGTAAGACCCTTTGATTTTCTTTTATTTACGAAAATCTTTAGTTGATGTGAGTTACTGATACCAGCAAAGGACTATGAATAAAATAGGTGCCTTCATCTTTAAGGAATTGTTGTAGCTTTGTTTCTGTGATAAGGTATCTTTTGCTATTTAAACAGATTTTAGAGATGACAATATAATTTTATATATTATATTCTTTTCTAGGCACTTTGGAACCTGTTTGCAAATTTTGAAGATAAGTCAGAATACCCTTTGTTTGTGAGCTTGGCTCAAGCCATCATGAGAGTGAGACGAAAAGCCACTGATCACTGATGGAGAATGTTGGAGAGTTTTTTTGATGGAAAGGAGAATCAATTCTTTTCAGAAAGTGATTGACTTAAAACGAGATCACCAAAACTTGAAATAAAATGGTAAATATAATTTTATCCCATAAACTTATTTTTTTGACAAGCTTTTAAGTTTTGATTAGTTTCATCACACGATTAATGGATTACTTTTTGTTCTTGTTTTCTTTATATATATTATATATATATAAGATATTTTCTTTTTTTCCTGAAAGTTATTCCATTAGTTTTGTTTGGTTACTTTCGATCGATTTGCTATACTTGAACATATTTTGATACTTAGTTTATGATTAGTTTGTGATACTTAAAAATATTTAAGATGGAAAAGGGGCTTCTACCTTTCAAGATTTGTTTAAGGTTTGTTTTCTTTGTTAAGATATTTTCTACTTTAAAAAAGAGTTTTAGAAGAATGAAGGACAAAGCTTTTTAATATTTGTTTCCTTTCCAGGGGCTTCGAGTTATGTTTGGAATTCTTCTTGGAATTGTCAAGCTGTCATAACACTGAGATGAAAAGCTAGTGACTGCTTTTAGATGGTGGAGATTAATTTGATGAAATACAGGACTAATTCTTTTCAGAAAGTAATGGAGTTAAAAGAGATCACGAAGACTTGAAGTAAAATGGTAAATAGAAATTTTTGTCAAAAACTTGTTTCGTTGTAATAAGCCCTTTAGGTTTATTTAGTTGCATAAATCGATTTATTATGCATTAGTTTTTATTGTTGATTCAAAGATGTTTTCTTCTTTCTAATGGTTATTCAATCAGAGTTTTGTTGGATTATTTTGAATTTGCTGAACATATTTTGAAACCTTCATTTTTGTTGTTTTAAAGGTCAGTCGTTCTGAGGAATGACGTCACTTGGGAAGATGCACAAGAAGAAGAGGCAGAAGAAGACGTTGCAGAAGAAGAAGATGCACAAAAGGATGTTCACAAGAAGATGAAGCAAAGAAGATCAAATGAAGAACTGTTGAGAAGATGGACAGATGATACAAAATGCATTCATGTAAATAATTCTGATTGTGAATGGGTTAGAAGTGCGGTGTTTGCTGGCAAGTAACTTACTTCGAAACTGTCATTGGGTAAAATTTACGATTCCATCCCAGTTGTTTGCTTGGGTACGCTCAGGGAGAAGCGAGCAGGGAAAGTATTTCACGAGGGTTTGCTCAGGGAGAAGCGAGCAGAAAACGCGGGAACTGATCCAAGGGGAGCTTGCACTGTTTTTGCTTTTGTGTGCATGCACTGACTCTTAGTTTTTGAGGGTGAAATTCAATTGTTTGTTTAACAAGTTGCTTGCCAGCATTGACTGCATTTTTAATCCACCATAAGGGAAAAGGTCATTTGAGCAGCTCTTTCAACCAAACAAGGCTCTCTTTTTTCCACATCAAAGTTCCTTTGGCTAGAACTTATAATAGGTTCCCTTGCATGCTTCATAAAGTGTTTCAAGCCCTAACATTTGCCCAAAATTATCTTTACCATTGTTTCCGTCAGTAGTTTTCGTTTTTGTTCAGATTTCCGCTAGAATTTTTCGTCCATTGCTTTACAAAATTTTGCATTCCCTAAGTTTTACCAAAATGCATCTCTAATTCAACTATGCTACTGTTTCTTCTCCTCTAATGAAAGTTCAAACCAATTTCGTTTGACGACCCTTTTGCAGAAGCTTCAGTATTGGTTTAAGTTTTCGGCTTTTCAAATTGATGATATCTTTGAGATATCCAGGGAATCGTGTCATAGGCGTATTGCTTCTAGGTAATACTTTAGGCACTTTGGTTTACGAAAATAACTTCCATTCGCCAAGAAGTTTGTTTTTAAGACTGATTTTTTTTTCGGCTGAATGAAGTAAACTTGGCAGGTAAATTTTGATAGGTGCATATCCCATAGGGAAAATGTAAACAAAAGTTAGGTAATAGGAAAGAGAAAGCTGCTTGAATGACCAATTCTGAACTTCCTATCGATCAGCTGAATATCATCTTCAAGGGGGGGGGGCGTCATTTTCAAAGGGAGGACGCTTTTCAACTATAAACCAAAACAGCGTTGACGTGATAGGGTGGTCGTTTGGTGCCGGTACTTAAGATGTTGGCTTGCTCATTTTGGATTGAAGAAAAGTCATACTAGCCTACCCTGTGCTGCTATCCAGAGGAGACCAGATAAACGAGAAAGGATACGAGATTCGATCAACGTCATTTAAAAGGAGGACAATCTTGGAGGAATTCATTGCCAATCAGAATCAACACCAATCAAAGTCGAGAATCAGCACCAGGATCAGCATCATTCGAAAAGTGTTGCAGCTTGGACAAAGTGTGAAACAGCAGGCAAACTGGAAACAACAGTGCCAACGTGAAACAGACTTTCGAGAGGATCGTCCACACATTCATGCCTTCCTTTCTCCTTTTCTTTCAGATATTTTTATATGATTCTTTTCAACTTTTTTTCAATTCTATCTACACTACTTTTAATAACTAAGCCCTGATATTTAGGTAAAAAGATTTTTACAGTCTTCTTTAGGTTTTTCACTATTCTATTTTGGCCAGATGCAAGATGCATTTACCAAACTCCCCAAGCATATAGATATAATAAACTAAGTTGTGCTTTGAATTTAAAGGTGGATAGAAAAGCTCTTCCTTAAGGTTGCTAAATTGCTTTCTGCTAGCCGTTTCCTCATTGATTAATTATCCTTGCCACTAAATGGAGAAGAACTTTCCTTTTTCCCCTTGTTTAGAAATTTTTCCCAAAATATTTTATTTATCCAAAGCTTACCTTTTCCATACTTCCATTACTTTCTCACCTTTTTTCTTTCTTTTCTTTCTTCACCTGTGACTTTCATCAAGTCGCTAAACGACAAAGATGAGGACAGAAGGAAACAAGGATGAACTTCACCAAAGAATATGCTCGCAATTGTCAGAAGATCATGTCTGTTGTTTGGGCCATGCGTCACATTTTCCCCAAAACTTTTCATCTCGCGCGTTTTATATTAGTGCTTGAAGCGATAAAAACTTGGGGATAGTTTGCTTCAAATTTTCAGCTGATGGAAGGAGGTTCATTCTAGAAAGACTTTGTAAAATGTTGTATATGTAATTAGACTTAATCAAATGCAGGTGCAAATCGACATGATAGAGCCAATGGCAAGGGTGGTCCTCCCGTTAATGGTCAGTTACAAGCAGGACTCATTTCACAATCGCCGAGCTTTCTTCTCCGAACATTTTGGATTTTTAGGTTACCACTTCCGTTTTCAAAAACTATTCACAATCGCCGGACTTTTTTCTCCGAAAATTTTAGATGTTTCTTCTTCCTTTTTCAAGATTACAAACTTTTTGACGATCTAAAATTTTCCCAGAAAAAATCAGGATAAGGGTTGGGTTTTCAATGTTTTCCAGTAAAAATTTCCCCCGTAGAGGAATGAATTTTCATTCTCTTTCAGTAAGGTCGTATTTGGGTGTCTTTTTTGTTCAAATTTTTTTCTAGCACTTAGAATGCAAAATTTTTTGTCGTAGGAAAGCAGCTCTATTTTTACAAAAAAATGCTTTACGCATTCCAAATGTTTTGCGGCAAGATTTTTTATCGGTAAACTGTTTTAAGGTCCTTTCTTGTTTTTTGAATAAAAATTGCCCATATTTTCTGGATTTTGTTCGGTTTCCAAGCATTTATAATTCGGTTTCAGACTTCTTCCAGGGTTCTAGTTTTTAAAAAATCGTCAAAGCCAGAAAGCTCTGTCATTCGTTTATGCACCTGCATCGTGTCTGCACATTCTCTTTACGGCTTCTTGTATTAGGGATTGGGAACAGTGAATGTTTGTGCGGACACACCCCCACTCCGCCCCGCCGTGCTGGGCCTCTTCCCGCGGAGTGCTCCGACGTCCTGCCTGCGCTGCAAGATTCTGGTGGGCTCCAGCTGGTCATTCTTCGCTTCATCCTGTCTTGCCGTCTCTGCAAGTTTGTCCTTCATCTCCAAGGTAAGAGGATTTATTACCTCTCTTCCACTATCTCTTCGATTGTTTGTCATCTTTGCTTGTATATTGTACACATTTTATCAGGATCCAAACTCATCATGGGAATATTAACTAAGTAGCTTTGTTTACCTTCAAACACCGGGTGGGGGCAATGTTTTCGGTGGCTGTTCCAATGATAGGTAGCTTTAACGGCGAGTGAATCATATTGTATTAGAGTATTCTCTTTGCTGCAACGATGTCTTGGTGAATGGGAGTGCCGCAATGGAAACGAAAGGCTGCAATCTAGCAACTAAAAGTGTTGATCGGGGTTGTGTTGTAAGGATAGCAATTTCTGATCCGTCCTGGCTCTCTAGTCGGGTGCGAGGGTTTTTGGTATATGTAGTTCTTTTTATTATTATTTAATTTACCCTATCGGTCAAGGGTACGGCGAAACGTTCTGTTGAATAGGTAACCTTGCAGTTCATCACGTTTATGTGCGCCTTTTATCATTTATTAGTGTAAGATTTTTTCTTTCAATTTTGTAGGATTAAATAATTAAGTAATTCTATATAAGCTATTCTTTATTAGATAATTAAGTTATTATTTAAAGTTACAATAATAACTAATTTTCAGCTATCATTCAACTATTATATAGATTAATCGCGTAAAATGAAACTTTTAATTCGATATCAGTAATAATAACATAAAATAAGAGCGAATTATAAAGTTACATAAATTATTGAAAGTAATTTGATACGTAATACAATTATTGGGGCGGGAATTTCCCTGATGTATCCCTTTTACTTACCTCAAAATTGATGTATAGATCTAAGCAATTGATAATATTATTGGTAATTTGATAATGTTCTGTAATTGTAATCGAAATGATGATTATGATTATTGTTATTGTGTAAGTCTCAAGGTTATGAATAGACCCAATAAACTAAACATCTAGTAATTTCTAAATGAATTAGGATATTTTTATTTATCATTATTCGCAAGTAATAACCTCAAGATAAATTAGAAGCTACAAAATTCACTGATGCCTATCTAATTATTTATTCAATATTACCTAGCCGCGTACTGTGTTGTTAAGGTCGATTTTTGAAATTTTTCAGAACAGAAGGTTTAATTGCAAGATAGTCCTTATATCCCCATATATTTTAAAAGATAATAATTTAGCACTAGATAATATTTCTAAACATTACACAACATATATTTAAATTAATTTACTATAAATTCTCTAAGTAGGCATATAATTATATTTGTTTGTATAATATAGCAATTTGTTTTAGATAGCTCTTTTTAATAATATTTTTATTTCTACTGTTACTAATTTCTTTCTAATCTCTCTCTTTTCCCCAACAGTTTTAAAACCAAAGTGTGCTTTTCCCATTTTTCCTCGTTTTCTGATAAATCTGAATATTTTTCGCAATTCACTTTGTCCCCTCTATACCTTTAGTGTTTTCGTATTTTTCGGGGGTTTGAAAAATTCTCTTCTAATTTTTAGCGCTTATTTCGGCATCAACTTTAAAAACCTTCAATCCTTTTTCGTTAATTTTTCGGCC